TTTGACTCTGATTGATGTACACTTCTCCGTCTCTCAGGAGCCAAACCACCCCGCTCACGAGCTGCACAAAGGGGTTTTCTTGATCCAAGACATCCTCCTCAGACAGGTAACTAGGAAAAAGAGAGCAGGAGGGGTTATCCATAGTCACAGCAGCATCATGTGAAAGCCTCTTCTGCTGCCAGCAGGCTCCAGAGGCAGGGAGAAGAGCAAGAGGCACTTGAACAAATGCCAGTACATCCAAAGCTAGAGGCCAAGCAGTGCAAAGCACCCCTTCAGCACCCAGAGTGGAGCCTCTTCTCAGTTGTTATATACAAAGCCACTGTTAGCGACTGTCCCCTGCACCAAACAACTCCTGCCAACAACGTGGCCTGTGGACCTGAGCCAGGATAAGGGCAGAAAGCATCTGGCAGATCATGAGGGCAGAACCATTGCCAAATGCTCAGGGATCTGGGGAATTATCTTTAACACCTCAGCATCTGTCAGCTTCCACTCTGCAGAGCAATGGCACCAAACAGCCTTTGAGGGGGTTTTCAGCAACTGCAACCAGTCTGCCTGCAGCTGCTCTGAGGGATGCTTCTTGCTCCCTCCCTCAAGGATTGCTGCTTCTCCTCTTCCAGAAGCAAAAACTTCCCCTGGCAGCCAGCAGGAAGGACTGTTCAGCTACCATTTCCATGATTAGGCACTGTGTGTCATGGTGGGATGCTTCCTAATTTTCCTCTCAAAAATGAGGGTGCTGATCTGGTTCATCAAAACTTGCTGCTAGTTGGTGTCTGCAACACACAGAAGACAGCAGCAAAGGTTGGACCTGAACAGCTGTACTTGCAACTGTGCAAGATCTGCCAGTGTTTTTTGGTTTAATGCCAATTGCTTTACGTGCTCCAAACACGTCTTGTGGGAGCTGGATGCTTACCTGATCGTTTTTTAGTGTGTAACTGTAGCTGAAGAAAGCATCCTTGAAGAAAAGCGTAACTGAAAATACCTGAATGATAAACATGCAGAAAGAAATCCCCTTTAACGATGGGATGTGAACCCAGAATGACCACAGCTGGAAATCCACCACATTGCACACCACTCTGCAGCAAACCTTACTGGGTCTGAGGGCATGTGGGAGTAGGCCAGCAGAGCAGTGAATGGAGCCAACAGAAGCAGCAGCTTGCAAATCAGTTTCCAGAGTCTTCTGGGAATCACCAGGGTACCCTTAGGAAGTCTTCTGGGACTTTTAGTGTACCTGCTGCTGCTGGGGAAGGATAGCTGCCAGGCGTTTTACTTCTTAGCAAGTGCTAAAGTCCTTCTGTCAGCTCTTTGTGATCAAAGGGAGCTCTGAGCTTTTGCCTCCTAATTAGGGACTGTCACACACGCTTTCAGCTGGTGCCAGAAGAGATCTATGTAGCTGCAGGGCAGAGACCACAGCTCCTAGGAGCCAGCAGATGCCGCAGCTTGTGTGGAGAGCAGCTGGAAACTATGCAGTGAGACAAGGTGACACCACAGGGCATAGCATCCAGCACAGCAGATACCCAGGTGCAGTCTGAGCTGCATAAGGAGAATGCAATTCTCCAGTCTCAGGCTGCAGGCTCTCACTCAAGCTAGGACCAAAGGAAATGGTGACCTGCTATGTCCTGGTTGAAAGACTCTGCTGACAGGATAAGCTCCTACATGAGGACATCAGTGCACTGCACAGCAGCTGGGATGATGAAAATGACGAGGACAGATAACAATAACCTGCAGAAAGAGAAGCCTCAACCACAGAGTATCCATAAACAGCACCCAGAATCTGCTCACTGGGGTAGCAAACACCATGATGCTGAAAGCTGGAAGGCTCTCAGCTCGGGCAGTAGGATGGAGCTCTTCCTGCACCCCCAGATGTGTGCCTACAAAGCAAGATTAGTGCTGTATGGGAACTGCTGAATCACAGCCTGAACCTCTGATTGATCACCTGAGGCAAGCAATGAGTCAGCCCTCGGAGAGCAGCTGTGGGTAATTCACCTGTGCTGCCGGAAGGGGTGGAGCTTGGCTCCATCTCTCCTAGATCCATTAACAGCTGACTACCACTAGGGGAGGATCTCTTTCTGGAGATTCCTCTTATTTGGAGTTTTTCAGCAAACCCAGAACAAGGGTAAGCCCTTTATCTGTTCTTTCTAGTGTAATAACCTGCTTAGTCAAACTCTCCCATGTATTTCTTAATACTTGTATATTCATTGATCATACAAGTGCCCCACAGCAGGTAAAGGGCTGGGATTCCTGTGAAACCAAGCACCAGCCAAGCATGACCCACAGCAGCACCAGAGGTAAGTGAGTGACAGTGGGAGGCTGCCAGCCTTTCTAGGGAGGTCTGTGGGGGGCTCAGACTTGGGATGCTGCTGGGAGACTGCTGAGGCTTCTCCAGCCCTCAGACCATCGCTGCCTACTGTTCTGCTGTGTTGGCATCTACAACACTGCTGGGGATGCTGTGAGTGTATCAAGAGCATGGCTCAGAGGTTGCTTTGGGATAGTGGTCAAGTGATAAAAAAATATGTATAAGGAGAGATCACAAAAATCCTGGGGTGTGTTTGCTTTGTGGGAAACCACCTAGCATCGGAACTTGTGCAACTCTGTGGGAACTGGTCTCTACAACTTTCTGAAAGCAGCTTGTAGTGAGGTGGGGTTTGGGCTCTTCTGATGTGTAACCAGTGATAGGATGAGAGGTAATGGCCTCAAGTTTCACAGGAGGTTGGTTATTTGGAAAAGTTTCTCTGAAAAAGAGGTCAGATGCTGGAATGAGTTGTCCAGGGAGGTGGTTGAGTCGCTGTCCCTGCAGGTTTTTGTTAGCTGTTGTACTGAGGGACAGTGTTTAGTGGGGAAATATGGTGGTAGGTGGACTGTTGGACTGGATGATCTCGGAGGTCTTTTCCAATCCTGGTGACTCTATGATTCTGTTACTCAGTCTGGAGAAGAGGAGGCTCAGGAGAGACCTTATCACTCTCTACAACTCTTGAAAGGAGGCTGTGGTGAGGTGGGGGTCAGCCTCCGCTCCCAAGAGCGAGAGGATGAGAGAGAATGGTCTCAAGTTGCATCAGGGGAGGTTTCAGGTAGGTTAGTAAGAAAAATGTCTTCTCAGAAGGTGAGGCATTGGCACGGGCTGCCCAAGGAGGTGGTGGAATCACCATCTCTGAAGGTGTTCAAGAACTGTGGAGATGGGGAACTGCAGGACGTGGTCAGTGGGCACTGTGGGATGGCTTGGGGTTGGACTTCACAATCTCAGAGGTCTTTTCAAACCTTAAAAATTCCGTAAATGAACACATCATCCGTGTGCGAGATGGGGTTACTGCACAGCGGGTAACGAATCCACCTTCAGGCAAGGAGGCGGCTACAACTGAGCACTGCTGTCTGCCTGCAGGAGCTTCCTGCAAACCCAACCCCCCGTCCTTACCCAAACACCATGCTGCCATCCCTGCGGATGCCGAACTGGGCGTTCTGCAGGCCGCGGGCGTTTTGCACCAGCCTGCCGTCGCTCACCACGTTCCCCAGGCACTCCCCGCTGCTCATGTCGAAGTAACCGCCGTTCTGAGCCACCAGGCACCGGCCCAGCCGCGCCGTCTCCTCCACGGTGACCCTGCGCCGCTCCCCGCAGCCCCCGGCACCGCCGGGCTCCAGCACCGACAACGTCCTCAGCGGGTTCCTCACGAAGGTGAAGTGGCCGTAAACGGCCCGGCGCTGCTCCTCGGCCGAGGAGATGTAGGAAACGAAGGTCCGGGTGGTGGCCGCGGGCAGCCCCGTGCTGTTGTCGCCGGGCCAGGTCTCGTGCGTCACGTTACCGTGCCGGACGGGCTGACAGTCCCTGACGTGGCGGTGGCCGTGCCGCGGCCCGTGCTGCCCGGGCGGGTAGGGCTGCAGCAGCCGCAGGCCGGAGGCGGCCCTGTAAGACAGCAGCGCGGGTTCACGGAGCGCTCTCGCCGCCGGAGCGAGGCCTCCGCTTTCCCCTTCTAGAGAAGGGGAGACCCCGACCGAGGGAGACCGGGCCCCACGGGAGCCACTCACCCGACGCCGCCCGCCGCCTGCAGCCAGCCCAGCGCCGCCACAGCCAGAGCCCACCGCCGCCGGTCCGCGGCCCCAGCCGACGTGGAGGCCGCCATCTTGGCGGGAGCGCCCCCCCGCCCCCCTCGCGCTATTGCGCCCCCTGGCGGCGGGAGGCCGCGCAGCCTTCCGTTCGGAGCGCGGGGCTCAGCCGGCTGGGAGCTGCAGCGCGGCGTCCGTCGGTGGCCGCGGGATGCGGAGCTGCTGAGTCTGAACCACGGCGAGCGGCGGAATCCCAATCTGCAAGAGGATCAGTAGGCAAGCACGGGAAAACTCGTGGTGTGAGACAGAGGAGGTTTAGTCGGTAAAGCAAAATTTGCATGCTCACATAAGTGCAAAACAAATGAAGGCGATTCTGCTGTCTCCCATAAGCTGGGAGATGTTCATTGCACGTAATGTGGGCGGACGTGGGCAACGTTCCCTTGGACAGCTGCAATGCACTGCTGTCGGCAGCACTGGTAGTAGAGGAACCCTCCGAGCAATCCTGCTGCCACAGCTCTGTGATATGAAGAGCACCTGCCTGTGGAAAAGGTCATGGCACAAAGCGATGCGGCTGGCCTCAGTGATGGCCTGTACTCCTTTAAAGATCATATGCACTGGGCAGGCTGAAGTAAGGATTAGTCCAGGAGATCAAATGTACAACTGAATGGTGAGACAGGAGGCAGAGATCTATCTCCATATTGTCAGTTAATAGTAAGATTCCTACCTGTTTTAAAAAATAAAAGTAAAAATAAGAATTTCCCCAAGAGACTGTGAGCTGCGAGAGGGGGTCCAGAGGAGCCACAAAGGTATCAGGGGCTGCAGCACCTCCACTACAAAGACAGGCTGAGGGAGCTGGGCTTGTTCAGCCTGGACAAAAGAAGGCTGGGGGTGACCTCATTGCAGCCTGCAGTACCTAAAGGGAGCCTACAGAC